TGGCATGTTCATATGGTGTATGCTTACATTCTTCAGCAGAGACAAATGACACCAGAGCATTCAATGTTTGTCACCTTCACTTGCAGAAAAAATCTTCCTACCCTAGCCAAACATAAAATCACTCTTATTATGCAATATACAACTCCTGCAAAATTGGCATGCTATATGGTATATGCTTGGACCAGCAGAGACAATACCAGAGCAGTGTTTTTCAAAACATTTGCTACATGTGCAAAAGTGCTTGGCTCATCAATTATTTGAATTATTATGATTCTCACCTCCACCTTCCATTTCAACTGCAATTGCTTCAGGATGTTTCCTAATCATATCTCTGTTTGCCTCTGAGATACTCAGAACCACTCCATCACAGTGCACTTTGGCATTATATTCATCAGCATTTTGTAAAGGTGCCTTCCACCCATCAGCCACATGTTTGATCAGGTTACCAATATCTCTGCTGGGGGGAGTTTTGTATACAGCTGTTATCAGCTTTGCTGAAACAACCACATCTCCTAACTTGACCTTTTTGCTATTCAAACCACTGCAGGCACCAACAGAAAAGATAGCCTTGGGTCTCAGTACTGAGATGGCATCTTTTGAAACTGACAAAGAACCCTGAGGAACATCAGGACCTTTGGAGCACCTCATCAATGCAATTTTCATTTTCTTTCCTTGATCATCACCCATGCACCCAAAGTACACAGGGCCAGTGCTGATGTGGTAACTCTTAAAGGGTTCCTTCAGGTAGGCAAAACAACTTAAGAACTCACAGTCCTCCACTGCTAATAAAACAATATCAACAGGAAGTTCAACAGTTTCCCAAGAAGAAGAGATTGCTGGAAGATCACACAACTTTGGAAGTTTCACACTGAGCTCTGGTGGGCTGCCATTGCCATTCTCTGCTGATGTATTTTCCCCTGGCATTAATACTGTCTCTGAAAAAGAAGGTTGTAGTTTTTGTATGTGAAAGTTACTTCAATTACTGAAATAAAAATCAAAAGATAAAAAAGATGAAGACAAAAGCAAATTATGGATGTAACAGTTGACTTAGCTTAAGGTAATAAAGATTCACAACTTCAATAATGCATAATTGTGACTTTTAAAAAAAATCTGCTGGAAATTCATTTCATCTAACAATCCAGTATGACTTCATTATTGACTCAACAAATTTAAGTTAATTTAAAACTCAGGTTTGAAAAAAGAATAACACACACCTCTCTCCCATGAATTTTGTTCAGAAATGTCAAAGGAATTCTCCATGTCCCCTCCCTTCCTGGCCTTTTTCACAATTTTGTCTTCATGCACTTTGTCTGTGATACGGTCATCATCTTTCAACCACTCTCTCAGAAGCTCTTGGTAGTGTTCTTCAAGATCAGCATCCATACAGTGGAGTGTAGGATCATCTATGACTTCCTCATAGCAGGTCCCTCCAATACGCAGAAAAGTGTCTTTGATGTTGTTCCAGTACAAACTGAAGGTTGGATCATCAACTGAAGCATTAGCAGCATGACTGAAAACTCTGTCCCTGAAAAACTTGATGCGAGTGATGTCAGCTTCTGGAGAGGTGTCTGATCCTGGAGGAAGGTTATTCCGGCCAGAGGCAGGGAAATTCAGACCAAAGATATTCCTCAGAAGAAATAGCAGTAAGGAGGTGTCAAAGTTCCCTGAGGAAACTGATGTTTTGGAGACAGGATACAGTTTCCCCCACTGGAAGGTACTCAGGACTCTCTTCTTTCGCAATGTTTGTAGTTTGGCATGGTTTGTGGGATTAGTCAGAACTGCATGAAGGTTTTCTGGTGGACATACCCGGTCAAAGATCTCCCTTAGCATAAGTGATCCAACTTCAACAAGAAGGCGACAGAGCTGGGCATAATTAGAGGTCTCCTTGGTAGAAGGTTGTGATGGGGTGGCAGAAGCCATGAAATCAAGTCCTCTGTAAAGAAATGCTTGTAATTAATACATGGAAGGTGACATTTATAGAGCACACACAAAAATTATTACTTTATTCTAACTTTGCAACACCAGAATATTACAGCACTCAAACAATGAGTTAAATATCATGCAACAGATCAATAAAATAAGTTTGCTGCATCTTCCATTTTAACCCTTTAACCTCTAAGAGCTGTGATTGGCTTCTAATTTCTCCTTACAGTATCATCCTTGAATCAAATGTATGAGTCACAAGAATAAAGGAGATCATCAAAAATTTAAAAAGTTCCTGATTCTCACATCACACTTTATCTATTTTCTCATATTCAATATATATAGTACAAGATATTCCTTTGACTTGTAGATAGCAGATGCTAATCCAGGCAGGGCAATTTTTTTAATTTCCAAAATAATAGGGTTACTGTCAATAAAATCAGGTGCCTTCCAGAAAAATCATCCTAATCGTACTACTATTAAAGATCATGGCTAGTTTAATCAAAGATGAAGTCAAACTGTACACAGAAAACTTTCATGCGCTATATTACACATGTGATTAGATTGCAACAGAAACCTCAGAAAAAATACATCACAGTAAAGCTTATAAAGTAAAGATAATAGAAATAGCAAACCTTTTCACAGTTTTTGGTTTGGTAGGCACATGTAAGCACTTAAACACAACATTGACGGTGTTTGCTTTACTGAATTCACGGCCTCCACATTACCCCAGACCTCAAAACAAACTGGACAGTAATAAATTCAAAATTTAAAAAGTTTCTGAATTTCTCATGTCACACTTTATCTATTTTCTCATATTCAATATACAAAATACTCCTTTGACTTGCAGATAGCAGGTGCTAATCCAGGCAGGGCAATTTTTTACTTAAGATTGCTGTTAACAAAATAGGGTGCCTTCCAGGCTAACAAGGTGTCTGAGGCAATTTCCATATTCTTATTAGTTCCTGAGAAAATCTATTGTGAAGTTGGACAATGGGAAATATTGCGTGTGTCAATGTGGTCATGCTGCTGACCAATGAAACACAACATGAAAGCCCCTGGCGAGCCTCCTGACAAAGAGCTCCTTTAAAACTTGAAAGGTCATTTCATGAAAAGGAAACGTAAATTAAACATAATTCAAACATCATCAAGCAAGCTGGGGCCACGGAAAATGAACAACTTAACTTCAATTTCTTTGGCTTGGGCTCTCTCTACCAACTTTTAGTTGACTGTTTTAGGCTATTTGATGAAGCCTCCTTTGATTCAACATTTTGCAAAATGTGCTAGAGATTCCCAGTGAATATGCAGTGCAAGATGTGATGTAAACAATATATGTAAATTGAGATCCTGGATGAAAGCCTGCAGAAAAACATCAACACTCTGCTGGAGGCCTTTTTGTTTATGACACCTTTTGTTCTACAGGACAGGTTTCCTAAAACATTCTTTCAGCTGTGTCTTGCCTCCTTTCTAAGATTTTTGTTTGGCAAATTGAGTAATCATTGATTAATGATGGTTAATTAACTAGTGATAGAGATATCGAATTTCCTTTATAATCTAGTGCGTGGCCTAGCGTCTCATCTTTTGTCAGATCCGGAGACGAGGCGTAATCTCTTGTTCCTTCACGTTCTTTTCTCCAAACTCTTTCGTTCCTAATGGCACTCTCCGCAGGCGCACGTCCAAAACGCCGCTCCAAGAAGGTGTCTGATCCAGACTTCGTGTACGATTTTCCAACGGACTCGCTGTTTCATGACGCTCTCATTCTGGAGCAGAGCAATCCCGTTGACCCCGTTCTCTTCGAACAGTCTACCAAGTCAGAAGCTAGATCGTCTAAATCAAAAACCAGACCAGTTACAGTACCTGGAGCTTCTTCACCGCCATTCTTTCCTGACGCCAATACCAATCCTTCTCTCTCATTCGACCAGCAGCTTCAGTTGATCAAACTACAAAAGGAAAAGTTGGAGCTGGAGGTGAAAGTACTTGCCATGAGCCGCCAGGAACGCCCTCTCGAAAATTCGTTCGCAGATCTCTCCACGCAAGACGCCAGAGATGCTATTGCGCCAGGACGCACCAAGCGCAACATCGACTGGCCACAGGATTTTGTTCCGTCCATTCAAGGTGAATATGTTAAGTTAGAACTGCCCGAGTTTGTTTCGGGTTTCTTGATTATGATCAAAACCTACGATTCTTCGCTAAAGGATGCCATGTTAGCTCATCTCGAGTTACTACTCACTAAAGCAATTAGTTATTCGTGGATTAGCGTTCGTGGTTTTCATAAATTTATCGCCAAACAGGTCGAACAGCGTCGTTTGGAATGGCAGGATTTTAAGTCTATCCAAGATCAAGCCACAACCTTTTTTCGCCATTCAGATTTACGACATACACGACAGCGAATTGACAACCCGCGTCAACCCTCTAACAACGCATCCTCGGGTGATCGTCAACAGGCGGTTCCACCCACAGTTAAAAAAGCTTGCAAAACCTGGAATTACACTGGCTCTTGTGATTACGATCCGCAAGATGAAGTTAATTACAAAGAACATCACCGCTGTCGAGTGTGCAAGGCGGATCACCCGATGCTTCATTGCTCAAAACGTCGCACACCAATCCCACCCCAATGACAACTAGGCCGAGTAATTCCAGACGAAATTTCCTCAGCGACCTCTTTGACCCGGAACGGAAACGGACATGAACATTTTAAAAATTCAGCAGTTGTTCGACATTTAATTGCTTCTCGTCTCCAGCAGCCAAATGCCTTCGGTGCCAAGGTTTTGGTTCCTACTTCGCTCTTGCTTTCGAACTGGAGAACACTGCTTTCCAATTATCATGATAACATTGTGATCGATTTTCTTTCGTACGGTTGGCCTGTTAATTATACAGCACACACTCCTCCTGTTTCATCATTGCATAATCATCCATCTGCTACGAACTTTGATTCGCATGTGCAAACCTATCTTGACACTGAATTATCTTGGAATGCTATAGCCGGACCCTTCGATCATCCTCCATTTGCAGACGATTTCGTATCCTCGCCTCTTCAAACAGTGCCCAAACGTGGTACCTCGACGCGGCGCGTGGTTATGGACTTGAGTTTCCCTCACGGCTCCTCAGTCAACGATGGCATTTCTCAAGACACCTATCTGGGCGAGCATTTTAAGCTACGTTTGCCTGGCATTGATCGCCTCGTTGAATTCATTCTCGAGAAAGGTCGTAACTGTCTCATTTTCAAGAAGGACTTGCGTCGGGCTTATCGACAGTTTCCTGTAGACCCCAAGGACTATAATTTACTGGGCTTTTGTTATAAGGGTAAATTTTATTTTGACACTCGTTGTCCTTTCGGTTTGCGTTCGTCAGCTATGATTTGCCAACGCACGACAAAGGCGGTCGTCCATATCTTCACTGAGCAGGGGTTTTTCGCAGACGTTTATCTTGACGATTTTTACGGCGCGGAATATCCATCTCTTGCAGCCCAGGTCTTTTCCTGTCTCGGTCAGCTATTCCAACATCTCGGCTTAGATTCTTCTCCTGAGAAGGACTCGCCTCCTTCAACGTCCATGATTTGTCTCGGTCTTCTAGTTGACACTGCAGCGTTCACCCTCGAGGTTCCTCCTTCACGTCTTGACGATTTACAGGCCGAACTCAAACTTTGGCAATCCTCTACCTGTTTTACTAAGAAACAACTTCAGTCCCTCCTAGGGAAGCTCTCTTTTGTTACCGCTTGCGTTAAGCCCGGTAGAATCTTCATGGCTCGACTCCTAAATAGTCTTCGCGAGTGCACGCAGCCAGCCCGTCACCGATACCCCATTTCTGCTTCTATGCTCTCAGATATTCAGTGGTGGCTCGATTTTCTTCCCCGGTTTAATCGTGTATCGCTCATCAAGCCTTCCTCCTGGGACTTTGGGAGCCTTAACTTCTCGACTGACGCCTGCCTTTCTGGAGGCGGCGCTTCTTGTCAAACGGAGTGCATTAGCTTTGTTTTTCCTGATTGTATTTCACCTGACAATCTTCATATCAACGCGCTGGAACTTTTCACGATCATTGTTTCACTCAAGCACTGGGCTCCTCAGTTACGCGGACGCAAATTCATCATTGCCTGTGATAACTCCGCTGCTGCTCTTTTCGATTTTGAAATTCGAGCATTACACGTTCCTGGAAAACACAATCAATTCGCGGACTGTCTCAGCCGTTGGCATTCAGATGCTTCAGCTCGCGATACTTATTATCGTCTGTGTAGTGACTTTGATCAGATTTTTCATTATCAAGATATTGACTCTGCTTGTTTTTCTTTCGACGTTGCGTGACAATATTTTCTTTTTTCTTTTGTAGACTTCAACAGGGGATCAGGTTCACATTTCCCTCCAGCTGTTTCGCTTGTCACCTTGGAGTCTTTTGTGTCGCGTCTTATCACAATGGCTCACGCCACGTCAACACAGAAAAACATTGCAGTTCATATCCGTAGTTACCAGATTTTTTGTGAACAGAGGGCTCTCCAGTCCTTTCCAATTAGTGTTAAATCTATAAGTTTGTATATCGCCTATTTAGTCATGCAAAAACGCGCTTCTGGTACTATTCTTAATCATCTTAGCAGCCTTAAACATGCTCATCAAATTGCCGGATACGAGCTCACCTGGAGTTCTAATTATCATTTTCAACTTTTGCTGAGGGGCACTAAACGTTTCTTAGGCCAGGCTGTCGCTCGAAAATATGCTATTACGCCTTCTATTTTGCACGCCGCATTTGACCATTTCAATCTCTCACTTCCGCTGCACGCAGCTATGTGGGCTTTGTTTCTAGTTGCATTTTTTACTTTTTTACGCAAATCCAATTTAGTACCAGACAACCCGCGGCGAATTTCTCCTAAGGTCATCACTAGGGCAAGTTTGGCTTTTACACCTGTGGGCGCTAACATCCATGTCTCCGCTACCAAGACCATTCAGTGTCAGCAACGTTCTCTAGATTTGCCCATCCCCAGGGTCCCTGGGTCTCGTCTTTGCCCCATTTTCGCTCTTCGTCGCCATTTATCCCTAAATCCCGGGCCAGTTTCGGCTCCCCTTTTTTCAGTTATATCGGGGTCTGGTCTACAGCCAATTACTTACAAGCAATTTTGCGCCTTTCTTTCTCGGGTTATTTCTAGTCTACAATTAGATCCCTCTAAATTTTCTCCTCATAGTTTTCGACGGGGCGGGGCTACTTTTGCCTTTGACTGTCATATTCCCTCGGAAATCATCAAATTGCAGGGCGATTGGCAAAGCGACGCATATCTCGTGTATCTAGAATTATCTCAGCAGCAGAAACAGCGCGCGGGTCAAGCTATGGCGGACAAGCTTCAGACTATGTTTCCAGAATAATGATTTATTAATAGATTTCCATTATTTTTTTTTTCATTTATAACCTTTTCGTATTCTCCTCAATCACCTCACTCTCCTTTTTTCTACACTCCAGTTTGGGCACTTTGGCGTTCTTGTTTATTGTCCAGTATTTTGTCAGGCAGTTCTCGCACTGTGCAATAAACTCATTTTGCCCAAACTGTTGTGTCGTCTTGGTAACGCGGGTGATTGAGTAATCATTGATTAATGATGGTTAATTAACTAGTGATAGAGATATCGAATTTCCTTTATAATCTAGTGCGTGGCCTAGCGTCTCATCTTTTGTCAGATCCGGAGACGAGGCGTAATCTCTTCCCACCACTCCCACCCTTAAACAATGTATTTTTTATTAGTTTTTTCTTCTTCGTTGCGTTCTTGTTTATTGTCCAGTATTTTGTCAGGCAGTTCTCGCACTGTGCAATAAACTCATTTTGCCCAAACTGTTGTGTCGTCTTGGTAACGCGGGTGATTAAGCTTTTAAGTGGTTAAAACTAGTTTCTCTGACTAACTTAAGAGAAAAAAATGAGATTTTGAACATTTTAAGCAGATTTTATTGACAGTAAATAAGAAAATATTTCATAAAAAGATTAAAAGATACACAAGAAAAGAAAAAGGAAAATGAAAGACATTCATTGTAAAAGATAAAAAGTTGTTGAGTATCTAAGTGCACTAAAGATATTGTACAACTGCAAGTTTAATTTATTTCAATTGTTTGAATTTAACCATTATCTCATCAGGCTCAATAGAAGAATTTTCAGTCCCTAGAATATTGAGACCACCATTTTTGTTTCCTTTTTGAAGGATTTCTTTGACAAATTTTTCTATTCATTTGGCATCTCATTCCAGATTTTGACACCTGGAGTATTTAATCCTAAAGAGTTGTGATGTTGATGAGTAAGTATAGGTGTAATTGTTTAATGTTCTCACAAAACTTTTCATGATGTTAGATGGTGCTCTATTGTTATGAACATCAAGCTTTAATTTACATACAGCTTCCCAATAGAGGAAGGCAATAGGTAGAATTTTTGCATTTATAAATAAGGAGAGAGCATGTTCTTTTCTGTCAGGAAAGTAGATTAAACACAATACTTGCTCTTGGAGACAAATTTTGTTTACAGTATATTTTTTGGATGCATTGCCTCAAGCAGTGAGTTAATAGTTATATTAGGTAAAATTAAGGATTTATAGATATTTAGGAGGACAGATGATGGAACAAAGTATCCCAGCTTAGCAATCATTTGTATGGTCTTTCTTATTTTAGCAATAACACAGTCAATGTAGTTTTTCCAAGAAAGATTTTCATCAATTATACACTTATCAAATAATAAATGTAGCTCTTATGTTCTAAACTGACTCTTCTATTTGTTTCACTATCAAATATACTTCTTTGATAAATTCTCCTTGTCTGTTCCATAGGAAATGTAAAGAGAACAGTGTGGAGAATAATGATGAATACTAATGTCTTAGGGTGCTAAAGGTTAAAAGTCAAATGGAGTAGGGGGAACCCACACAATTCCACAACACTCATACTACACATCCTCCCTTTGCTACCTTCAAGACTGAGATTATCACCTGCATATTAGCCTTCAAATGGGATGCAGCAGGCATCACCATCCTTAGAGGAAATGGGGGCATACTACCCCCGAAAACTATGAAAAAGAATATGAAGTTGCTATGGAATACATTAGTCTAAGCAAGCATTTCCACTGCTGGAAAGACTTTGAAGCAAGTCAGAGGGAACAAGGAGTAAATTATATTTAAAAGGATAATTAATTTCAAGTTATTTAACGAAAGCCGTGATTTGCTGTAAGAAACAATAGTTTCAGCTTGAGAACATAAAATTAAATTTGTTTTCATGAGACTCACACTCAATGTGAAAGACTTGAGAGCTTTGACTAGCGCTTTTAAGTGGGGCAGCTTATAAGCAGCAGTTTTCAATGTTTTTGGAGTAGAGGTACATGCATCAGTTGTTCCTTTCGCTCAAAATTAAGGAATGTATCATGTTAATCACAGCAAGCCAGCAGTAAACTAGAAAATTGATTTTCAACAACTACTTTGAAAACATATTTCTAGTTTGGAAGCACAAATGAATTCGGCCACAACGGTATTTTGATCGATTTTCATCCCACGGGAACTGAAAAACTGTTCAATGTTTTGCTAGTATTAATTGAAGTAAAATAAAATTTTTACGGCATCAGGCATCCGCGATCTGATGGGCCACCAGGCAAAGCTGATGCCCTTCAAAAAGTTGACTGTAATTTTCAGGATTTCAGTCAGAATATGTTTTTCATGAGTTACGAGAGACGGAGGAGATACAGTATTATATATAATAATGAATGTAAAAACATTATGTGTTGGTCTCACCAAAAATAAGCGAATGGTTGGCGAATACGAAGATGTCTCAAAAAAACATGCAGAAGGTGCTGATCGAAGCACTAATCCACGAGTTAAAACCATTTGTCTTTTAAAACACATATTTTTCAGCTGGAAGTCGAGCGAATTCAGCCAGATTCGACAAAATGATAACAAATAAGTGAATTAACATCACAAACTACCGAATAAAGCGATGTCAATAATAACTATGAGCTCTAATTCGAAAAATACGACCATCTATTTCACTAACAAGCAGAAGGTGCTGACAGGAGCACCTAAATCCACGAGTCAAAGCCATTCGTCTTTTAAAATACATATTTAATAGCTACCAGCCGAGCGAATCAAGCCAAATTCGACAAAATGATAACAAATAAGTGAATCATCATCAAAAACTACTGAATACAGTGACCTCAAGGGTAACTATGAGCTCCAATTCGAAAAATACGAGCATCTCTTCAACAAACAGGAAGTGCTGACCGAAGCACTAAGCTACGAGGGTTAAGACAAGACCCTCTATAGCAATAACATGAATCAAGTTGAAAAGTATGTATATTGGTAAACAAATGACTTTACCTTGGCGAAAATCGTCCGCTAAGAAACGTCAAACAAGTCTTTCAAAATAGAGATCAACCACATCCTACCCGCACCTAAACCATGTTAGAAACTCCTGTACGAATAGTCTTCGGGCTTTTGCCTAATGCGAGAAGGATAACCGAGGAAGACTAGAAACGAGTTTCCGGGAGATTCAATTCTCTATATGGCGGACTATTCAATTTTCTAATAAACAGTCAAGCGACGTTGCCGAACAAGACACGTACCTTACTCCGATAATTACTGATTAAAAGCCGTAATTGTGACCAACTCGAAAGCTTATTAGCTACTTTGGTCACTGTACACGATTAAATATTCTTTCTTCTGGTTAATTTCTGTTTGAGGTTTTTCTATATCATTGTAAATCATGTTATGTTAAGTTATTTTTTCTGTAAACAGTGTGAAATAATAAACTTGAACGTAATTTGGAGTAAATTCTTTGGCGATACCATACCATGATAACTTGTGCTGATGTGGTGTGGAAAAAGCCACTCAGGTGTGGAATCTCGCCCAATTTCCGCCTCAGTTGATAACTGAACACTTCCGAAGTTATCAGCCGTTTTCATCAAATTTCCCTTGCTTTGACTCGAGGGCTCTTTTGTGAGGCTTCACAGGATGTCCCCAGAGCTATACCTGGAAGAAATTTTGGAAATTTGAATGAAACGAAGTTTGTTCTCCGCATGATTACCTGATTAGAACTCAAAACATTTATTCACCTCACTGATGAGCTGAACAAAGAATGACGAAAAAACGTAACATTTTCGGTTTGACGTAAACTTCGTGCCTAATCTATCTGTTTACTAAACACACCTCAAGGTTAACGATAGTGTCAGTAGTTAGTCCCTTCTGTTGATTTGAACCAAAATTTCTCTGTTTCTACAGATTGCCTGTTATCGCATCGAAATTGTTCTGATCCTTATGCTTATGTAGCATTTGACATTTTTGAGAATGGAAACCCTTCAGAAATAACC